CAACTTGCAGGGACTGAGCAACGACTAAGTCTTAGTGACTAAGACCACATCAAACAACCCAAGAATGCATTCATTGTCTTCCGTCGCAAATGCTGTTTGAAAAAGAATGAGGCAGAGGCTGCACTACCTGCAGAAGGCGACCTGGTCGCACAACATCAGCATCGAGCTGACCTCTCCAAAACAATCTCATACCAATAGCGTTTGCTGTTTGTAGAGGAACATAAATACTGGGGCAAACTCATAAAGCAGAGGAAGAAAGAGTACAAGGAGATGAATACCCATGGTACATCTATCAGTTGTTGTGATTTGCTAAGGTAGTGATAGTTTTGTTTCTGTTATAATGTGTTAATATTATGTACTGTTCAGCATTGTTAGTAAAGAATAAAATATTTAAATAAAATATATATTGTATAATAAGCCATTCAGATAAGATATAAGCTGTAAATTAACTTATTTAAGGATTATAAGATAGCAGAAGAAGTATTATACCATATCAGAAGAGGGTTGTAATATATACCATTATAGACTTTCCTAAGAGCTATAATTCTTATATCCCTATTGTAAGGACATGTAATGTTTATTAATTCTTATAATATAAATCTGTCTTATTACAACCTTATAGTATCTTTTATATATCTTATCCAATGAGGGGTGTAATAAATGTCATTATGGATAATATTGTTTTTTTACATATTATATATACATATAAGAGTATATAATAATTAAGACTTTTTCCTGACACAGTAATATTATAGGAAAAAAATTCTTATCATATTATGAGTCATGATACTCATCTGCTTGTTAATTTATTATACATAAAAAATGCTAGAAGTAATCAGTCTGTAAAAGATATTATTAGCTTAGTTCATAATATTTAGTCTAGTAGTATGCTTGTCCTGAGAAAGTTCTGTTCCCCCCTCTTTTAAATACTCTAATTCCACAACTCAGTTCCTGTTAAGACAAGACTACACAAGAGTATGTCTCAGATAATATAAACTACATTACAAGCAATGACAAACAATGATGGAATACCTTCCATCATACATTCTACATCTGAGACATACCTACATAGTATATATAGACTAACTAATTAACAGACAATGAAGCAAGCTGCAAGAGAGCAAGCCAAGTCCACTATCCCCCCTCTTTGTGTAATCCCTCTAAGCCTCTCTCATAACCTCCTTCTAATAGGTTATGAGCCTTGTGCTCCCTGCCTATGCTTTATCTACACTCTACTATGTCTATACTCTATACAGTTCTACACATCTCATACATACATGTAGCATACTACAACACAGAACTTGACTCACCTGTCTGAGTATCCCAAACACAAATCAATACACTGTAGACACACAATCTACTGTACTACATACAACTCAGACATTATATGATTGTCATCTTAGTGATTATGATTATTGGCCTAGTAATAATGTAATCTATACAGACAATGTTGAAACTATGATGAGTATCACTTACTACAATATTTAAATGCTGAAATACTCTATAATATCATGGAGATTATGTTATTATAAATAACTGATCATACTACAGACAAACATTAAAAAGATTAATAAAGCAAATGCTACTCTTCTGCTATTAACATTACAATAGTATAAATGATTGACACTGTCAACAAGCACACATATGTTATAGTATAAATCAAATAATAACACATATAGTAATATCAGGGCTGAACAATTAATGCTCAAAACAAGCACATATATACTAAACAGTATATTAAATCAAATAAATAAAACATTTAATATGTATTATAAACAATAATACAATTGTAGACACTATAACAACAACAATAATAATGATAATAATATGGATAGAACTAATGGAACAAATATGGAACAATATAATAACTAACACATATTATAGTTGAGTGATTATATGAAACATGTTGGATTTAGCAGTTACATGTTGGATATCACAATTACTTATTAGATACTGAATATAATATGTATATCTAAGATATAGAGACAAGTACAGATATACAAAAGTATAATGAATAACTACAAACCAAAAAACAATACTATAGAGTGTATAAACTAACTATGTATGAAAGAATAATGTTATAACACATAAATACTAATTACAGCACAAGACAAGTGCAGAATTATAATTCTTAAACAGATGATACTACTTTACACATTAATACAATTGTGTAAATGTATACTAACAACAAATGAAAGAATTATATCTTGAATATACTTGAAACAATACATCAATACAACTTAATTACACAGAACGTGTTATCACAGCAGTTGATTATATAATAAATTTCGAAGTTGCAATGGCAACATCAACTGTACAGTGTATATACCTTAACAAACAATTATTAAATTTACATTGTGACAATGTAGCTTGTAGGAGCAAAGTATTAAGCTGATAAGGCTATTACAATGAATAATACAAATATAATTATTACAAACACATTATTATAATAATTACAATCGAAAACAATCATAATATAATATGATTAAATAAATTAATAAAATGTTTAAGCCATTATCTCGGACAGTATAATATAAAATAGGTAATAACAGATGCAAGTGTACTTAATAGAACTCAGTGCATTTACTAAAAGCACTACATAAATAATAATTACAATGTTATTAAATGAATATTATACAGAAACAAATAAATTACTATATGTTTTCAACACAAAAACAAAATATTCATTCATAGTTATGAACAATTATTAATAAAAGATAATGAGCACAAACAGAACTTGTGTATTGTACATAATGTGTACTTATCTACTATAACAAACAAAATACACATTATATAAGTTGACAAACATTAACAGTAACAAAGATATAATAGTAATAACATTTAAATTACTTATTATCAAACATAACAAATGTTACACACTGCTTTATAATACTAATAATTAGAAATCAAACTATGAAAGCAATTACAATTATTATATATAAATATTATATTATAACAATGATAGACAAACATACAAAAGAAAACAATTAAACAATCAAACAATATCCAATTCTTTGAAGAAATACCTTCTTAAATTGAAGGGGAGAAAATGGATAATATGCACAAACAATTAATAACTAAATATAAACAATGGAACAGAAAGTATAACACTACAGACACTACAAAAAATAGAATAACAAAATGCACAGACTAAGCACTGACTAAGCAATAGAAGTTACAGACAGACATAACGGATCATAAAGGTAAATCATTTGGTACAAAGTGAAACTATGTTGATTGGAACTAAATAACAGAAGTTAATACAATGTGTGATTGAACTTCAATGTTAAATGAATAATAATTCTACTACAAAACGAATGCTCATACTTGGTGAATAATATTAATATAATAATATAATTAACTTAACAGTGTTTAATACGAAAATAAATAATATACAGACAATTATCACATCATATAACAAAATAATTCATCAATTCAGACTATAGTTCATAGATAAAAGTAATGAATAATGAAAATAATACTTCAGAACATACATAAAACAATAAATAATATATCTATATGATAATACAAATATAATTGCAATATAATTCACAACTACAACTGAAAGATACACAGATAATAACTATAAAAACAAGTATGGAGCATATACATATAATTACTGCCTTTTTCATAAGTATTGTCACACTTGATGATTCATTATTTTTTGTCACAAAAGTAAACAAAACAAAAAATAGCTATTTCTCACTCAATTCTGCACAGAATTCAGTGATTATCTGACATAAATTCATGTTTTTTAAATATGCTTCAAATAGACACTTTAATTATTAAATTTGAGCAAGATTTGACTGAGTTATAGTGAAAATACACTG